GGGGTGGGGGCAGGGGCGGGATGCGGACGCGAGCGGGGGAGGCGGGGCAGGATCGGGGTGCATACCTGGACATTCCTGTTCAGGCTGACGGCTGGGAAGAACAGACCCTCCACGTTCTCAAAGGCTATGGGACCTTGCTGTTCATCGTTGATAAAAAACGTTAAGGTTTTCCTGTTTAAGTCGAGGAGGACCCCAATTGTGGCCCCTTTTGTGATCCCTCCCTCAGTTCTGTGGGAAAAGAAAAGAACAACAACAACAACAAAACGGAGTTTCACTTGCTTGTTGTCATCCCCAAAGCTCCCCTTTTTGTAGTTTAAATCAGGGTTTTGCAACCTGTTTAAAATTTTTTTAGAATGCCTCCTTTATGACCCCTCCCCCAGCTTTTGAAAACAATTTTTTCTCGAAGCACTCCTTTGCACACAAAGTTTCAAATATCACAGATATACTACAGACCCACTCATGTACTGTGTGTATGTATATCTGTGCTTTATAGTAAGAGTAGCGTTTTTTTGCTCCCCACCCATTCTCACGGGGCAGGGGCAGCATTTCTGCCTCTGATGAGAAGGCGTGGTTGCTCTGCATTGCTGAGAGTGAACTAGCTCCCTGAGCTGAGCCGTAGGAAACAAAGCATTAAAGACCAGAAAGCGATACAGCCTTGTGGCCATCAGAGCTCTGACTCTAGCTATATCGCACACTTTGCATAAATGATGTAAATTAAATACCATGAAATATGCAATGACTTCATTTGAAAGCCAAATAAAGAAGCACTTAAGTTGAACCTAAAACCTGTGCATGAAAAAAATTGGAGTTTTGGCCTTCTGCTTCCCATTAAATAATAAAACTCACTTCAGAAAGATGGTCATTTTTTTGGCATATTGAGTTTGAATTAAGAAGTTAGAGGCTCTGTAAAATGACAGCACTGGAGAAGATTCTTCTCTGTAAAGTGAGGTAATTATACTACAGGAAATGTAATGTTTTAAAGAAACTCGGTACAAGCGGCATTTTACAAAGAACTGTGTATATGTCAATTGACAGCTTCACAGAATGCCATTAAGCAGGGATGATCAGATTTATCTTCCCTCCCTTTTTGAGACCTAACAGTACTGAGCTTCATCCTCATCTCAGCAGAGCACAGAAATTTAGAAACATCATTCATTTCCTCTTGCATGCAGAATATAGCCTGGACACGGTCACGAGAAGACAGGTTTACGAATCGCATCTTGTTAGTCACAGGTTTGACAAGGACAGCACGAGCGACATGCAGTTTGCATGCAAGCAGAGGTGTCTGGCTTTAAGATTGTGTGTCTCTGCAGAGTGTGATGGTTGGGTTCTTATTCACTCCTTCAGATCAAAATAAAGATGCTAGCTAGGTATAGTCCATGGGTGATGGTATCGGGAATCTAGTGACCGAGAGGTCCCTTAAAACTGTATCTCTGAGGATAACTGCTTATGTATACCTTCTAGCATTTGATATTGAGTAAAATGACATGTGTGCTCACTTCAGGTATAATAAGTAATATACACTTAGTGGAGATGGGCAGAAAATACTCCAGGGAAAAGGAGGCCCTAGGAAGCTACTGGCTAGAGAAGGTCAGTGACAGGTATGCAGGAAAAGCTCAGAGAGTAGACTCCAATTCTCCTGTCACTGCCTGAACTGCTTGCCCTCTGAGCTGACACATTGGATTTCCCTCCACCATACACCATGAAAATCTATCTTGGTGCACCTTTGGGGGTAAAGTGTACTAATGTCTATGAAAGACACTTCTCAGCATAGGAAGTGAGTGAAAAATACACTTGAAGATAACACAAATAAATGAAAAAGAAATCCAAGGAAAAAATTATGCTATGTGTTAAATTGTAATGGTCTATATTTTAATGGTAGAAGAAATCATTGAAGAGCTGACTACATTCTCTTCATCAAAGTAGGTGCTCTGAATTCATACAAGGGAGTTCCTCAAGTATAAACCCATTCAAATTGGCCTCCATCGGACTGAGTTTAATGAATAGCTTCTATTTTGAGTAGTAGTGTGATAATAATCATAGTAAGAACAGTGGCTCTTCTATTTTTCAGGTGTCTCCAGTGTGAAGCATTTTTGCATTTAATCCTCATAGCTTTCCCATATGGAATGCTAAATTGGGGGATTCACAATCTGAAGTTTCACAAAAACAAATTACTTTGGTCAAAAGCCTTTTTCTGGTAGGTTGTAGGACTAGGTTTGAGAATCCTATGATGGATCTGCCTGGGGATCCTAGTTTCTAGCTCTGGGTGAACTATTGCCTTGAATGCCCAAGAAAAGGGCTCACATCTATTCGGATGCAAAAGATAGCCCAGCAGAATGGACTCAGCTAAGAGTGTGACTTCCTGGAGACTGCCTGCCCAACTTCCTTAATGTTGTCTATGAAACTGGTCCTTACACTAGGGTTCTGGGGAGGTCGCTGGTGCCTGGAAGCCAACGTGAAGAAGGCTTGGTTGGGGGGCTGCAGGGTACCTGTTTGTGTGCGAGTTGTTGTGCATGAACCAGCTCCGGTTATTGTCCACATACATTGCCCAAGCTTTGTCGTCCTTTCCTAACATCACATCCTTCATCACATCCATGCGAGCCACGCCAAAGGCGGGGTCGGGGTGGTTGTCATAGCGATCTATTGTTAGCTCCCAGTAGTGAACGCCCTTGGAGAAGCCAGTCTTCCCCAGCACCACCCGGTCATCGTAGCTGCTGCAGGTCACTGTCAGGTTGTCATTGGACAAGATGATATCGGAGTGCGCTGAACCAGGATCAAAAGCAAACCAGGCCACTGAGGACAGAAGGGAATCGGGTTATTATGATGGAACCATCAGGCTTGCCGCTGTAACACACTCCTGGGTGGGTGAGGAGTGTAGTGCTGTGGTTTTATGCTACCATGCAAGAGGGAGGTGTCTGGGGCCTGGGGAGCTGCAAGTGAGCAGGGAGGGACTGGTCCTGCGAGTCAGCACTCTGCACCAGAAGCAGATGGAGGACACACGACCGCTTCAGCAGGGGTTACCTGGCTCAGACTGCACTCCCAACCAGGTGATCCGGGAGTGAAGTGGCATCGACTTTGGAAGGCACAAGTCCCTTCACCTGGTGACTGGCAGGGCAGTGCACCAGAGACATAAAGGGAGAGGGTATGCGCTAAGATGCCTGTAACCCCTGAGGCAGGGAGCCTAGATCTAGAGTCCTGGATGGAGGAGGGATAAAACACACTGAGTGAAATCAGGAAATATCCCTTCAGCAGAAGTACTAATGTCTAGTTGTCTTGAAAACGTCCTTGGCTGTTGTGTCTGCTTACAAGAGGCAACACTATAAGTAACATACACTCCTTTTCATGAGTGCATACAACTTGGACATAAGACAGGTAAGGCAGCTTCCTTCATAACTGATAAATGTGTGCTACTCCTGAAACGAGTATTTCATCTAGTGATGTACTTTGCTGGATCAGTAGGTAGTTTGGATGTTTGGTGCAGAGGGAATGACGTTTTTGAACACATTGCTATGCACCATTTTATCAATGCTGCCTACAGAAATGAAATCACTGGTTTATTGGACCTAAGAGCCGGCTCCCATGCGCTTCCGCCTTTGCTATTTGTAACAGAATAAGATTATTCCATACCTGCCAACAGCTTTTTAATGTCAACTGTTGTCATTCCAGTGAAAGGCATGGGGGAGAAGAAACAGGAAGCAAAATTGACATTGATAAGAAAACATGTCTCTTTTGACAGACTAATACCCAGAAAGGTGTTCCACTGAAAATGCTACACACACTACGACTGCTGGTCTCACTTGTATTTAGTGCTTATTAAGAGTGTTTTGCACTGAAGCGTAAGAAAACTAGTATGAAAGTAAGCTTCAAAGTGTAACATTAAAAAATGTAGACGTTGTCCCATTTCTTTAAAGAATTTGAGAAACTGTTATAATGAGGTTTGAAAGACAACTAGACAATTTCATTGACATAATATAAGCTGCCATCATTTATTTTGTGAAGGAAATTTAGCACACCAGCCACATAAGTAAAAGGTAACAATTACAGTAGATATACTTGCCTAATTGAGAGTAAGGTGCAGACTGTGTCTCAAAATTGCATCCTACAAAGAGATACTACACATCAAAGCTAAGAAACAACAAGCAGGGTGATCAAAATTATCTGTATACATTTTAAAAGCACCGATTGAACATATCACCAGAGGCCTGATTCATGAAAAAACAAAGCCCTTTTTATGCTCATTTTCCTAGCCGAGTAAAAATTGCTCCTCTGCTGCTTATAAATGAAAAGCATATGTTTCACCCTTTCATAAGCCCTCTGCAGTTAAAGTTTGCAGCTTAAATTTTCATCACCTTCCAAGTTCAGTCTTGTCCACTGGCATTTGCATACTGAGGAGGCTGTTTTAAAACAAGAAAAATCGGAGCAATTGAAACTGAGAGACCACTGGATCTTAATACAACTCTGCCCTGTATCACTATTCTATGCATTTCTAATGCTGGTTATGACAAAACGTCTTGTAAGTGGGGCTCACGTGAAATGATACCTGTATAACTAAACGTGATGTAATCCACGTGTGAATGCACCTGACAATAAGGATGTGAACTGAATGTTTTGAAAAACACAAATTACCTCTTTTTCCTAAGATTGTTTTGCTATATCAATCCTTCTCACCTGAGGCTGGAGAGGAGGGCTGATTGGCATTGGAGAGATGTCAGAGACATAGTGGAATCACTTGTGGAACTTTTTCCAACCACATCCCTCCCTAACATTTGGAGACCCTTATTCCAAGAGAGGTGGGAGAAGGCAGTCTGGTCCTAAAATGTTCTTGGGTGTGTGAACTATAGTGTCCAGTGATGTTGAGGACCAGTCTAGAAGTTGTGGTTTTGATGAGCACTAGGGGATATAGGATCATGTAATTTCTTTTCAACTTAGCAATGGCTTGATAATTTCTAAAGCAATTGAAGGATGATATGCTGACTTAAAACATTTTCTTATAAGAATTGAAAAATCAACTTACTACAGAAGACTGAGTCAAAAACAGGATTTTGAGATTATGACCTTAATGTTGATGGGTTTATTTTACTCTGATATGCAATCACATACAAAGGAATCATTTCTCCTAATGACTGGATAATTTTTATGTTTAGATTCTCCTGATCATCACTTCAATTTCTATTCATGGGTTAGTTAGAGCACACTGAGTATAAAACACTCAGAATTTTGAAACTGAATTTCATGTCCAGCTTTGCAAGAAAATTTGTACACTGTAAAGAGGGCTTTTAAAATTTTTAAATGAATCATGCCTTTTGTAAGACTTTTTGAAACAAATGTTCTGAAATCTATTTACACTACTTTAAACACACCATCATACATTTAAGAGCCAACAGTACAGCTAGAACAATGCTGTTAAATATACCCATGAAATATCCCCAAGCCCACATTTTGTTTTATTCTTGCAACAATATACATTACAAAGACTGTAACAATATTTCAGTACATTAGACACAAGGGAAGAGAATTCAGTAACAAAGCATGTTGGAAAGCCAGTAGTGCACAGAAAAACAATAAGAAACGTAAAAGCACAAAGAAAGATGTCATTTTCAAGAGAGCTTGAAGTCCCTGCATCCTTTTTGCACTGTCATGCTGTGGCCTTCTTCATTCCAGGATGTGGGATGAGCCAAAAGAATAAAATAAAAACCAAAAGAAACCTTTGGAAATGTGAAATGTGCATCCATGATTACAATATAGTCCTGAAGAGATCAAATAGGTCTGCATTTGAGATGGTTTAGAATACTGTTTGCTAGACAGAGCTCGCTGCAAAGTAACACAAGTCTAGCTTCCCTGAACACAGCCATAAGCTGTCACAGCCATATTGGTGATGGGAAGCTTTCCAGAGGCTGCAGGTTTTGATTGCCCAGATCTTTGGATGTTAGGCATTAGGAGGGAAGGGTTTCTAATTCAGCTAGCAGTGGTCCCTGCCCTTTGGAGAAAAACAATCAGCCATGAGCCCACTGTCCTACCAGCGAGCCAGGCTTTGGCAGGAAATGCTTTTCCCTTTCTGCTCTCTGCTTTGCCTGCTTTGTTGGACGCAATCTGTTGTTTTTGTTTACTCTATTTTATTTTGTCAAGATCTCTTGAGTCTATGTTTAATCAGACCACTCCAGGCTAGATGCACCTATCCAGTCTCCCAGTCACAGCTGGTTTCCTGGATACAGAAGGGTTGCAAACCTCCATACTAGTGCCACGGCCTCCCCTCAGCCAGCGCCTGTGCGTGCCGCGCCACTGCATGTGATGACAGAGCGAGTTTCCCATGGTGGTACCAGTTTGTGCAAAAAGAACCGCTTCACTCATCACTTTCCAATGCACTGGACACGGACCACAGCTCCTCGGCAGGTCTTCACACCACACAAACAAGAAAGCCATGAAGCGCCACTATCCAAATGCTCCTCAACGGGAAGCAGGCCACAGACACAAAGACTAGCTCATCCCCCTCGCCACGCACATAAACAGCAAGAACAAAACAGGTGTTTCAGAGATGCCGTCAAGGCACAGAGAGCAAGAGGAAAGGCTGACAGCTCGGCTCACCCGGTGCATTGAGAGACTGCAAGGAAGAATGCAAGCTCATCTGGTGGGGTGAGGATCGGAAATCAAAGTAGGATCTCCCGGGGAAGCTGGGTTGCAGATTAAGGGTGGAGGAGAAAGGACTCATTCTACGGAGCGGCAATCTTTCCGAAGGCACTGGAAAAGGGAGGGTCTGTTCTTCTGAATCTGTGTCTAGATGTAAGATCAATGCAAACTAGAGATCAGAAATCTGCTACCTGCCCAGCACGGTTTTCCCACAGCTGCCTTATCAATGCATTCACAGAAAGCCTCATCTGTCCCCCGCAGGTGCCACACGTAGACATTAATAAAACCAAGGGGCCTGGGGGCCTGGGGGTCTGGGAGCTGTCAGGGAATCTCAGCAGGACAGGACTCAAGACCAGAGGACAAGCGCGAGGTCGTGAGTTCGATTCCCGGTACCGGAAAAAAACAAAAAAAAACAAAAACAAAAAGACCAGAGGACATTTCTGATGTTATTAGCAGTTGTTTTCACTTCCCTCCAATTTTTAGTTGTAGAAAAGGGATTTTGGAAGCTTTCTTTTAAATTAAATGACAACTTTTTAGAATTCAGTTTAGAAATGTTAGAGGTAAATTTTACCCATTGATGAACAAGAGGTGATTAATCCTTTACCAGCTTTAGCTGCCCTGAAAATTACTGTGCATTTAGCCACAGTCTCATAAAGGGTGTGATAATTTTTACAAAATGCATATACATACATATGTATAGTGTGCCTATTATATATATATGTGTATTTCTAGATGAGTTTTTGTACCTTCAAGACTTTGAATACTAGTGGCAGTGTGAGGTGCCTTGAAAGACGAGCTGGATAAGTAACCAGGGAATGTGCCTGACCTTTGTTTCTGAATTACAGTCACAGCCTAAGGACATCATTGACCATCTCTGGCTCTCTAATCACAAGCAGACTGTGGGCAGCGGGAGGTGCTCTAGTGTAAACCTGTCCTGGTTTCTTTTCAGATAGTCAGGACCAGCATGTAAAGACTTACCAGTCACTTGATCTGATTAGGAAGTTGTGAGTTCGGCTCTCTAAATTACTGAAGCCAATCTTTTCTCTTTTGTCTAACAGTAGCTGGCTCTATGCAGTGGTGTAGTCTGGTCACAAATAGGTTTTAATCAATTGGAGCCATCTTAAAACTCAGTTTAATAGTAAGACTTCAGAGGTGATAGATTGCAGAAGGTGACCTTTCATGTCCAAAACTCCAAGGAACTTCCTTCTCATCAAAAAAAAGTTTGTTTTTCTTGGTGACCAGGTGTTACTGTGGATATTTTTCTGGCTGGAGTCTGTGAACAGCTCTTTGTTGCACACCCTTCTTCTACCAAAATGCTAACCTGCGCATGATCAAGTAAAAATAACTGAAGTGTGTGTGCAAAATGTGATCCTATTTGAAGATCTCAGTAAGATTTAATACTGCTAAGAGAAGCCCCACTTTCATTTCTAAATTCACAATATTCAAGTTAGCTTCCGACTTCAGGCTCATCGTTGGGGGAAGATATTTTTTTCCAAGTATACGAAAAAAATCTCAGATCTCAGAGAACAGCAATTGCTATGTACAGAGGTACATGTTTATGTTCTCAAATAATTTCTACCTACACTTCATATAGTTTGGATGACTTGACATACACGGTCATTTTTTTAGTTCAGATATGATCAATTAAAAATGATTTATGCTATAATCAGTTTAAGGGAAAATCAGTCTTTTGTTTAATGGAAAGATTTGAAATATGAAATAGTACCACCAATGGGCATGGGCTTCTTTTAGGGAGGGAAGGCATTTACAACTATGTTTATGTCAATGAGAGATTTTTATTAACAAGAATTTGATTGGAAGTATATCTTTCACCAGTTATGACAATTGGTTTATAATACTGAAAACACTCGTTGCTTCATAAATTAAGGGTGTGAAGGGTAAGAGGGCATTGAATCTCCAAGCAATGATTTTGTGTCCCTTCCCGTCATGAATTATACGTACCTTTTCTATTCTCAGCACCAGGAGGAACTTGGAGCGGGTGATGGTGGGACTGCAGGCAGCTATGACTGTTACTGGAATTAGTAACAATATTATTGGAATGGCTGTTGTGTTTCCTATGCTCTTACACGGATCCTTTGTTTACTGAGGACCCAATTCTCCTTGTCTCCTCTCCTTCTTGAACTATGATATCTACTCAGGCAAATGGTTAATATTCGTGTCCTCAACCCTTCCTTCTTTGTTTTTACAGTTTTTTTCCCTGAGACTTATAATCTCCCATTTCTTACCTACTTGGCTTCTATCCCACCTTCTCTAAGCAGCTCCTATTTTTAAAAAAACTGCCTAAATCATGAGAATTTTCTAAATGAATGAGAACATCTGACGTCTGATTACAGCCAGACTAGACAGGCAACTCTCCCTTCACCTCCCTATGGGCCTTCCGTGCAAGTGTTCAGTCACTTGCTTCCAGGCCATCTACGCCTTTAGATTATCTTAAGTTGCAGGAGTCTTGGAGGGAGGGCATTTATCTCAATAACATCTGAGGAGGAAACATCAAGCCTTGCTTGCTGTCTCCTGGGATGAGGAACTCATTGCCTCCAGCCAGCCGCTTCCAGTCTGAAGTTTTTTTTTTTTTTTTTTTTGTTTTTTCTCCGGTACCGGGAACCGAACTCATGACCTTGCGCTTGCCAGGCAGGCGCTTCTGCCGCTGAGCTAAATCCCCAGCCCCTCAGTCTGTAGTTATTGCTGGTATTGGTGGGATTTACCCCTCTGGGGGCTCCACTCACCAACTATTCCTGTGCCTAGCTGGGGCCACATGAAACAGATCACTAGTTCTTCAAATATTTGAGGTCAGTCGCCGATCTTCTTTAAATCTTCCCTTTTCTATGTTAGAGTTTATTTCCAATCATTTTTTTTTACATATAGACTTCAAATGAACCAAAAACTATATGACGGTATTGAAAACTGTCTTTCTGCTCCCTAGTTTAGCCAAATCATACTTAACTCCCACTGAACATATACACAGCTATTCAAGTGTGTATGCTGCATGATACCCTCCCTTTCAAAAAACAACTACTAAGATATGGGGAAGGCTTCTCAGCCATTGCTATTCATTAGTCAGTTCAAAGGGGAATGCTGTTATTATTTTCAGAATACACGATAGGGAGCTGTGTTTTAGTTTTCAGTTAATATCTATCATGGTGACTCATTTTAAACTGGAGAAAGACAAGTAGCTCCATTAGAGATTGCAAATATCATGCCACGTGTCATCATATGCAGTGTTCCTGTCTGGGCGAAGGGTTTAGCTGAAGTTTAGTGGGAAGAGCAGTGGAAAACGGTACGTGAGAGTTGTACGGGAGACTCCACGCACATCCGTAACCCAAGGACAGGGGCCGTGTCCAGCACACAAATGTGTCAAGATGTCCTTTCATCATTTTCCTCTTGCTTTTCCCTGGGCTTCGTTCCCTTTCTACCTGCATTTGGCTGGATTTAGGAGTAGGGTGCTAGCTAATGCCAGGGGCCTCTGAAAGTAGCCAAAAGGTACCAAAGCAAAGATGTGCCATGAGAGGTTCAGGAGGAAAAAAGTGTATCTAGGTGGTGTCCTCTGCCTGGCTCACTGTGTATTCCTGTTATGTGTTCATTAGCTGACACTTACTCGATGTGTATCATGTATATTCAAATTGAGCAGGTGGGAAACATGCAGGAGAGCTGGCCACAGGAAAAAATAATAAGTTGGAGAAAATCTGTGACTTTATTGCTTTTTGTACAACTAAGGGTGGCATTTCTTGACCGGTTCCAGTATGTACAGAGTACTGAAGATTTCTATGGGTGTTGTGGAGTAACTTGAAAATCTGAAGTACAATCTTCAAGGTGTTGTTTTGGGGGTTTAAAGAGGAAAAGCAAACTTACAGAGGTTTCTATGACACAGGACACTAACCCACCTTCCTCTGTGTCCTGGTTGTAGGCCTGCGTGTCTTCCTGTCTGGCAGGGAACGGTTTCATAACTGAGCAGCCCTTGGGCCCTGGTCCAACAAGAGGGTTGCATTTCAGAGTGCAGTAAAGCAAGATCTGTCACTAAGAATTCCAAAAGCAGTATTAAAGATGAGTTTCAGTTCATTATAAACCTGCTGTAAAAAGAATGTGCTTTTGTTGAGAAGATTTTAAAAGAGACAAAGACACTACTGACGAAGGAGGTTGAGTCTTTAAAAATGATCTAATAAGCAACTGAAGTCACAATTCTGTCCAGCTGGTACATAATTTGTAACAAAAGGTGGTATTTTAAGCTTCCTTAAATGTGGCATTAATTACAGTTGAGAAGCGAGAAACAAATTCAGTTTGAAAACCTTCTTTTACAGGAACAAAACAGCCCTTGCACCCATAGGACAGCTGAATACTTCCCTGGTAAGTCCTCCACTCCAGTTTAAAATGCCATGACACTGTTTATAAGGAACTACCACAGGAAGAACCGAAAATGTCTGTAGTTAAAGAAGATTCCAAAGGACTACACTGTTGCTCAGACTGGCAACTGCCTGGCACACTCCCCACAACTAAAAATGGGTTCTGGATCCAATTCAATCCCGTGGAAAAATTCAGGAAACTTCATGGGACACTATGCATGTTGTCAAAATGAAAAGGAATGAAGTATTTCTTCCTCCTGGGCACTGAAACTTGTCATCATGCTTCCCATTTTTGGGTACTATAAAATTTACCCAAATTTGATCAAGAATGATTTACCTACCTTGAAGATTTTGTCCTGGAAACGCATGTTCTTTTAACTAAATTACTTTTGGAGAGGCCCAAATGCTGTGAGTTAAGAAGAGCAAAAGAGGAATGGGAAAAAAACATTTTGAGTGCACCGTCTACTTTTCCTTATGTGAGCCTTTATCAGCTACTTTCTGTTATGCTGAATTTAACTCTTGAAGAAGGCAAGCAGTAGCTAATGCCTCTTCATGGTATTCTCTGAATCAGTTAACAGCTTTCCACAGTGCAGTAGAGAGGAGCTGGAGGTACCAGCTGTAAAGAACTCAGAGGTCATCTGCTCTAAGTCCACAGTTTTACAGTCCAAAGAGGAGAAGGGGCACATCCATGCCTCGATAACAGCTGCAGTGGGGGTCGGGTGGGTGGGATGCAGACTTGGGCAGCATCAATCCTGATGGATAAAATTTGGGGCATAACAAAGCTACTGTTGCTCTTTTGTGACTTGGAAGTGTGCAAAAGTTACAGTTGATGGCATAGGCCATGGGACACATGTGTGTAACTGTCCTACTATTGCCTATAAACTCTCAACTAGATGAGAATGAATCGTTTCTTTCCCTATAGAGTTATTCAGTGGCCTGTAAGGCGGGTGTATCACCATTCTCCTTTGGAATTCTGGCTACGGACAGTAGATGGGTTGAGGGGTTTTCCGACATTGTTCTTCTGAAAGGTTCTTTTTCACAAAAAGGGTTACAGCTCTCTGGGGTGGGGAGCAGGTTATCTCAGTACATCAAGGTTTAAAAGTGAAGTACTTAAGCTGGACCAAAATCACTATGAAATTATATCTGTCAAGATTCAGGACAGACACATCTGAGGCCATTTGGCATTCAGACGAATGTAACCAGAAGTCTCCATGGAGCCTATACCCACTGAACTCTTTCCGGGTGATTCCCTTCGATGTGTGGGAGAAGGCGCTCCCACATGGGAGGGGCAGTGCGATGCTGAGATCTAATCAGAGATGTAGACTTTTCATTTTCATGCATAACACTTCCCACTTTTTAGGAATAATTTACAAGATATACTTTCAAGAATCTCAACCCATGTGTGGTCATTAGAAAGTCCTAAAGAATGTTGGGTGGACGCCTACTCTGGACTTTCAGCTGAGGGTGCTTGAGAACATTCTTTTCTTCCATGCCCTGGGCACGTGCATACCGGTTAGTGCTGGCATGTACAGCTGTATCTAAAGCCTGATCTTGTAATCACCACAGGTTTCCTTCTCTCCACTTTCCCCCTAGCTGAGAAGTGGAGGGCCAGAAAGCTTCTGTGAACAGATAGCTCTGCGTTTTCGACCTAAGTAGGGCCCAGAGTCCCAGATCTCACTGGAGCAGCTTTCAAGGATCTCAGAGAAGTGGTTCTGATATTCCCTTTCTTTCTTTCCCAGGTGGTGAACCATCACTGCCCACCAAGAGATCCTTGGTACCACCGGGGAGGAAGTGCCTCTCTAGGTGAGCCGCTCACCTGGGGTGGGGCTAGGGCTGGAGGAAGCACGGAGACACGGAAACAGGCACAGGAACTGAGGAGGGGTTTGGCTATGATACTGAAAATGACCGATACTTCCACATCTTCTTAAAGCAGGAAGGTTATTCTTCGTGACGAAAGTCTAACTTGACTCTTCGAAAGGTATTAAAGTCCTCTTTCTGGCTTTCTGGATGAACACAAAAGGTAGCCACACAGTGTGGCTTCACTTTGACAGTATGTTTTTAGACACCTAGCAGACAGACTTAGGGCAGTTTTCCCTCTCTTTCCTTTTGGTTAAATGCAAATAGCACTTTTCAAATGTCAGCATCACAGTGCGCTGTGCTGGGTGTTGGAAGCTGAAAGAACTGGTTTGAAAGGCTATTTAACTTCTTAGGTTCAGTTCCCCTATATGAGTAGTAGGAAAATTAGTAATAGTAATAAAATAATAATAATAATGATAATAATAAATAATACCTTTCTCAGGGTGTGTGGTAGATAGAATAACTACCCATTCAAAAACACACCCTAATTCCCAGAAACCTCTGAATTTGTTATCTTGTTACCATAGCAAAAAGGACTTGGCAGATGTGCCTAAATTAAGCATTTTTTTTTTTTTTTTGGTTTTTATCCAGTACCAGGAAACGAACTCACGACCTTGCGCTTGCCAGGCAGGCGCTTTGCCGCTGAGCTAAATCCCCAGCCCCTAAATTAAGCATCTTGAGATAAGGAGGCTACCCTGCACTATCCAGATGGGTCAAAGTAACCACCAGGATTCTGTGGTAAGGAAGGCAGGAAGGTAGGGTCAGGAAGAGATTGGAAGACGCTATGCTACTGGCTCCTAGCACAGGGGAAAGGGCCAGGAGCCAAGAAATGCAGGCGGCTTCTAGAAGCTGGGAAAGGCAAGACAACCAGTGCTCCCCTGAAACTCCTGGAGGAACACAGTCCTGCTGGCAGCTCACTTGGAGCTGGTAGGATTCTGACTGCTACTAAGGTAGTATGTCTGTGCTGTTTTAAACCACTGAGTTTGTGCTAATTTGTTACAGGAAAAAACTAATACATACGGGGGATCTGCAGTGTTACAGCGAGAGAGTGAGGGAGGGGTTTACACATGCGCAGTGGGTGCAGAAGCGAGGTCGGTAGTCTATTTAACTGGCTAAAGGTGGACAGAAAAAAGTCTGTGTCTTTTTCTATAGGACCTTATAGTAAAACATGGGATGGACAGTTTTTATACAGTTCCTCCACTGTATGTCAATATCCTGAAAATATCTGCTGGCTCTCACGCTGATGTCATCCTTCATGGAATCTGTTGATGGATAATGGAGAAAGTTCTCAGTAGCTGGACGCAAAATAAAGCGGGATTTTTGGGGGGAGCTTCGTTTCATGCTGTGATTCCACAGAGCCTTCAGACACACACATAATACCCTACTACCCAGGGTGCCAGAGACATACTGACTTTCAAATGTTTTCGATGGAAATCTTTCCAAAATTTATTGTATACTTTCTGATTTCCTTGATCAGAACATTTGCCATGGAATGCTCTTCTGTTTTGGGGGCCGTTTTCTCAGTTTTTCCCGTTATCATCCTTGCTAAGTGCTATCGACAGCCTCGATTAACTTCTCTCACAGTCCCTTCTCTCTCTTCTAATGTGCTTTTCAGCTGTTGTGGTCTCAAGAAATGGGTCAGTGAGCTTAGTGGATTTGTGCATAAATTCAGAGTAAAGGAGTCTGGACTAGGACCCCTCCGCCCAATCAGGGATTATTATTCTTTCTGATTGTAAGAAGGCCGTCGAGATTACGGAGTATCTTGGTTCTAGCGAAGTACACAGGGCTATACTTTTGAGGTGATCTGTGCCATGAAGATGGGCGAGAGGGCAATGAAACCCTGAGTTCTGGGCAGATTCTGCACTGGATGTGCCCCTGTAAGCCCAGTGCACAGCTCAGTCACCCACAGAGTCGAGGGGCTCAAGTCAAGCTTTTGAGTGATAAGGTTCCTATTGGTGACAGCTCAGATTGCTTTCTGCCTTGCATACAGATATTCTCTGGGTTAGATCTCTCTCCCTCTCTCTCCCCGCTTCTCTCCCTGTACCCACTTCTATGTGAGCCTGCCTTTCTCTTCAGATCATGCCAATGTCTCCTGCAATATGTTGTAATTTATTTCACCTAATACGATCAGAATATTACTCCTATGAAACTGTCAAGTTAAAACTCTTTTAGAAACATTTTTATTTTTAGAAGTGTGCCTGTTGGTGAAAATTAAGCCCCAAATCATAGAAGTACAGTGGAGTCATGTGCACATTTCTGTTGTACAATCTACCAGGAAAGCAATTTGGAAACACAGATAAAGAGCCTTAATTAAGTTCAGATTCTCTGGTGCAGTAATTCCACTTCCAAGAATCTGTCCGAAGAAAACAATCTGTCTACACAGAGACTGGTGCTAGGAATATGCATGCACAGAGACTGCAGCCCTGCCTGTTGCCTCCCCTGAAGGGGTGCTGAGGGCAGTCGAAACTTGACCTCCCCACCACACTGCCTAAAGTGACCCCTGCCCTGGAGGGGATGAGTGGAGCAGAGCCCCAGGACCTCAGTGAAGTATTTGAACCCAGAAATATTAACTTTCCTCTATTTCTTGTCTCTCCAGTTTTTCTTTTTTTTTTAAGGTACAGCCTGTTTAGATGGGCAGAGGGAAACTAGGGGGAAAAAAATCTCCTATCCTGTTCTCAGCCTTATCTAACTTTTTGTTTTGTTTTCTTTTTTTGGTAGGAGTATCGTCTGTCATGCAGAATGAGCCCCAGAACACTGTGTATCAGGAAGGCTTTGTTATATAATATTTTTAACAGCTACTCTTTTACCGATGGTTTTGATGACTGTGATACAGCCATAATGGTTATTAAATGAGTGACTAAAAACATATTCACAACCAAGTTTGTGGACTTTATTTTAAAATTTCATTGAAATTATTAACTGCTTATCTGGACCTAGCCTTATTTGTATAGCTGCCTTAGATCTATCCCAGGAACTGGCCTTTGGGAAATTAAACAAATTTGAACTCATATAATAATGCATTTCCTTGCCTTTTGTCTTCTAATAACACATTCCTTATGATTTCCATTGAATTAAATGTTTTTTCATTGCTTTCCTGATTGGTTTTCTATGAATTTTTTTCCTCATGATATTCATTACAATATGTAAGTATTTCACTATTTATGTGTTGATTTCTTTAGCGCCTCTCTGACTAGCCCAAAAGCTCTGCAACAGTAGGAGTAGTATCCACATCTGACACCCACAGTCAGCACGGTGGGTACTTATCAAACACTGCCCAGTAAGTAAATAAAAAGACAGACAGACAGACAGACAGATGAATTGGATTTGAGGAAAAACTTTATCAGAATTCATAATAATGTAGACATTTGATCTCCACTGTATAATGGTCCCAGTAGAACACTTTGAGACAGTTCAGAGTAGTAGTGATACAAGGTTTAAACCTCAGACTAACTGCACGTCCAAGTTAGGTTTGTGATCGCATGTGAAACTAGACCCTTCTGCAAAATAGATTTTAGTTTGAACTTCAGAAAGAAGTTTATTCTTATTAAGAAGAATGTGCAAGATTTTGTTATAATAGAAAGTCTAGATGAACCACCCCGCCTCTCAATACTGGCAAAAAACAAAAAACAAAACAAAACAAAAAAATCTCTAAAGCAAACTTTCCAGGAAGTGTAGGAAATAACGTTAATAAATTATAAGTGTAATGAATGTATCAAAAGTTTACTAATAACATTTTTCTCACTAATATGTAAAAAACAAAAAGGATACAATCCCTTAATTCAGTAAGCTTTCTCTATGAGAGTAGTTGATCAATTCTTTTTTAAATAAACTATTCACTTTTTTTTTCTTGCTTTCTAAATCTTATCTCACTGCTTGAGTGAATTAGAGTAAGGGAGAAACAAATAGAACAAACCAAAGTTATGGAGAAAGTATGTGTGCGAACTTTATTTCATCATGAGAAAATCACTTCTGTGCAGTAACAGAGAATACTGATATCTACATGATGATCAGGTTTGCTTTGTATTCAGATACATACCTTATATTTGTACACAATATATAAAAGTCAGGGAGGAAATTAATTTCTACAGTACATTTCTTTGTTGGAAGAGAACTTGTTCCAGTAGTTTCATTTAGAAAATGACCCCCAATTCTGTGACTGTAGTACCCAGGACTGCAATTCAGAATCCTGTAATTTTACCATAATTTTATGAACATTAAAAGAAACTAAGCAATTACATCCTCCTGTAGGATGGGAGACAGAAATATTCAGGTTGCTATGCTACTAACTCATTTTAGCAGACTAGTATGATCCCCATGATGTATTACGGATAGAAAGTTTTCCTATAGTTCTGATGACAAATGTTAGCAACATTGCTGCAGACTTCTCTCTGCTCTGCCGGCATGCATATCTCTGTTCAATTAAAAGGCCTTGTGCACACATGGTAATGGGGCCAGCACCAAGAAGGGCTTTTGGCATTGCTTCTGGAAAAAAGCTCTTGGAGGCCTTCGACATTTAGCATGGTATTCTGGGAAAAGAGGCAACTGCTCTCAAACTTATAGGTCATCCCAGAGAGAAGTTGCAAAAATGATACTTCTGGGGGAGGTTGTAGCTATCATGTCACTGTGATTCAAATGGGATAGGTCACACCAGTCTTTTCCCATCAACCAATCCTTCTCTTTGAACAGCATCACTGAGACTTACAACCACCCCCCAAAACACTGTTTTCACAGGTAGGGGCCCTTCAGCCTTGCTGTGGGATTCAAAGTTGTGCTTGTTTTTAACCATGTGAACCATTTGAGGGGTGACTGGCAGGTGCCGAGGTTTGTGGGAGGTGGTAGGAGACACCCACGCAGTTCTTTTAGCTAGCATCTTGAACAAATTCAACAGAAGTAGTTCTGCAAAGGGAAGTTATGGAGAATGCCAGTGGGTGGGAGGTGACTTCTATGACTAAAATGACACCCAAAGTTCTTAAACTGCTTTGGCACCAGCCACAAATACCTCTTCATGGTTTCATTTCATGTGTTGTGATTGCTTTTAAACTGAAAATGTTAAGAGCCTCAGAGGTTATACTTGGCCATCAAATTCAAGCCTCTCTTCTGAGATGGATAATTTGTCTTTGATGGCCTAACTATTTACAGTATAGCCAAGAAGCAAACATCCTCTAGAGATTACCCTTGTCCGGTGGCCTTAGGCAGCCTAACCAGGACCGGAGGGACTGGCAAAGATGCACATGGCGAGGTAATGCGGAGTTGCTGGTCTCTTCCTGTTGGGTGGCCACAGGAAGTCTCAGTCCTGGTGCTGGCGGCCTGGGCTTTGGATAGGAAATGGAAGCTGTCCGAGCTGGTTAAGCCAGGAGTGGCCCACAGGCCTTCTCTGAACGGCTCTAGCACCCCACACCCATGTCAGTCATACAAATGACTGACATGGAAACACGTTCAGTCATACAGATCCACAGCTGGAAAGAACCCAGGTCCCCCCTCAGGAACAAGCAAGCACTACAAGGAAACTGAGATTCAGCGGGGCAAAACTGGCAACTGATGTGCTCGGTGGAGAGTGGGAGCCTGCGCTAGAGCCTAGATACATTCGCCTTAGACACCCGGGGCACATTCAGGCCTTCGTTTTCAGCTTCTTCAAATGCAGCTTATTTAGAGGGTTACCAAAGGAGGCCGATGGCCCAAGCCATTGAACTGCCGATGTGGAATCTTTGGTTTGATCACATCCACATCCCATGGGCTCTCTAAAGGCAGGAGAGGAAGAGCGGCTCTGGGCCAGGACGCAGAGCAAGTCATGGAAAGGCTCGAGGAATGTGGGCAGTGGTGGGGTTACCTCCGGGCTGGCCAGCCGCGTTAGATGCCTCGCAGCTCTCGCTCTGAGGGATACTGCTGAAGGGCCTTACCCTCGGATGTCTGCAGGACCAGGGTCTTGCTGTATGGGCTGACTCCTGTTTTGTTGAAGGCCTTGACTCGAGCGTTGTACGTGCTGTTGAAGTGAAGGCCATCCACAGTGCACATCGTCTCTTTTCCAACATACACTTCCTGGAGGGCAACGAAAAGCAGGAGATCACTTAGTGGGAAGCCTTGCGAGGGGCTAGGAGGGCAGTGTTGCCTAGTGGCTAGGAGCAAGAGCTTTGGTGTCAGCCTGATTTGGGTTTCGCTCCCATGAGATACTGGGCTATTGAATTTACCCTTTAAAAGCTCAGTTACCTAATAAGTAAAATGGGGACAACATTACCCACTTTATGAGGATGATACAAGGTTGTATGTTCAGATCGATTAGCATAATGCTAATTGTATTTTGCATGGGCCCAGTGGCTTAATGAATGGTAGTTATCAGCAGCTAGTGTGTGCTAATAGTGGAGGTGGTGTTCATTCATATTAACTTGGCAGCTGTAAAGCGTATTATACCTGCTGAGCTCTTTATTCATCACCACGGTTTGTGAAAAACATATTGGAAACATGAACACATAAGAGCGGTCAGTATGCTATATTTATAACTGTGCTGATATCTTCAGGCACTGTCGCAAAGATTAGCCTTCAAAGCTGTAGGATTATAGGTTTGCATCACAGCACAGAGAGGAGCGGGAGGAAGAATGACATTTCAAAGGCTTAAAATAAACCCCAGCATAATGTGTCTTTTGCATAGGTTAGGCATTTGCTCCACACTTCAGCTGTACACTTTGCAAAATTATGCTGATGTAATGAATAAAAATAATTTGCATTCAAAGCACAGCCTTAACACGACAACTTTCTAAGAAGACTGGTCCTGGATTGCCCACCCATTCATTACTACTGCAATGGTAATAAAATTTGAATACTATGTCCTCTCACTCAGGCTTTCTCAAATTTTATGTGCATATGAATCACCTATGACTCTTATTACAATGCAGTTTCTGATCCAGTAAAGTCTCTGGGTTGGGTCTGAGAATTTCCATTTTTAACAAGTTCCCAATCCTGCATGAGGAGCAACGCATCTGAGTAGTGAGACAAGCAATCACCTGAAGACTTTTGGTCATGCTTCTCAGCGTAGCCTGTGGAGTAAGAATAGGGAATCCAGATAGGAGTACCACAGGGGGCTAGAGGGCATTGGGAGTGGATTCAGTGGCTTCCTTGATGTTACTGGGGCATGAGGAGGAAGTTGGAGCTGGTTGATCCTAAGATGCTGAGTGTGATATCTAAGACAGGACAATTGGAATATAGAAGATACAGAACTAAGTTTTGGAAGACAATTATGGGGTTGTGTTGAAGCATGTTTAATTTAAGGCAGTTTTAGGGTGTAGAAATGGAAAATTCTACAAAGGTAAGATATGAATCTGACTCTCGGTAGAGAAACATGTTTGAGACATGTGGACCGGGGATGGGTCAGCGTCCAAGGAAGTGAGGAAGCAGGAGGAACATGAGAGCCTGGAACCGTGAGAGAAGAAGACCGTGCCCAGGATGACGCCTGGGATACTTCCGACAGGTAATAACTGGGCAGGAGAGTGGAGACAAGGTAAGAGAATTTATTTATTTAAAGAACTGGGAAAACCAGGAGGATTAGTTTCTCAGGAGAAAAAGAAAGAGGGGATGGTTGGAGGGAGAAGGGCCCTGAAAATGAAATGAGAATGGAAAAGGCAAAGTCAGAGATGAGAAACTGAGCAACAGATAGGAATTTCAAATACACACACACACACACACACACACACACACACACACAGAGTTCAAAAAACATACAATGGAACCCAAGACTGATTCTTATTTCGGAATGGCAGAAGCTTGATTTTGGCATGCTAATAAATCCACACATATGTAGATAAAAGATTCCATCAAGAGAGAGCCTTTGTCCTTGAGAATTACAGAAGACATAGTTTTGGAAGCATTTACATCCAGTTGCCTTATCTTAAACATTTAGGAAAAGGAGGCCTCAATAGGCTTTGAACTTGAAAGCTAGTGGCCCAGGTTAGAAAGCCTCATCCTCAATGGCCTGGAGTTCTCTTTGGACAAGGTTTCTCTTTGTCTTTCTCTTCTCTCTGGAGTGGCCTCAGTACCCAGAAGGGCTGCTCCCTCAGGAGGTCCCAGGCACTGGAGCTCCCAGGAAAGAAACTCAGATGCGGCTGAGTTGGAGCAGGTGGAAAACAAGGTGGAAGGTGAGAATTTGTGAAAGTCAGTGGGTGAGAGAGAAGCAGACATGGGTAGACAGGAAGATACACATGACCATCAGCTGGTCTGCTTTCAGAGGACATCACAGCTTCCCACTCTTGGGAAGAAGATAACCTGTAGGCACCAGTTCTGTCGGGTGAGAGGACTTCTCCCAAAAAACCAAAAAAAACCCAAAGCACAAGTTGGAAAATTTCTGCTAGAAAAATTCCTTAGAATAGGGAGGCTATCACAAAAGAACTTGACTTGTAAGAGGAATGCCAATCAAAGATTTTACAAATGGTGGCTGTAAAAACAGATTGTAGACAATGATATTACTGGCAATAAATAATGGCAAGAATAATAGCTACTACTGAAGGCTGGCCATGTACCAGAATCCTATCTGGGTGATCCAACGCACTGTTAGCAACAAGGCATGAGATACACGTTCCTGTTAGCATCACCCTGTTTACAGATGAGGGTGTGCAGAGACCAAGAGGTGAGAATCAGGCCCCGTTATCCAGCTGTGTGGAGGGGACCAGATAAGAAGGCAGGTAGTCTGATCCCAGGGCTTGCAGGACTGTGAACTGTCTCTTAGGATGAGTAAGATGGTTTTGGACTCCTTTGCACTAGCACTTGGCATGGTATGAAGAGAGGGCAGGCCTCAGCTGAAGGGCGGGCAGACAGATGGGAAAGCCATGCTTGAGACACCACAGCAGGTTCTTTTGGGCGAAGGGGTGTGTGTGTGTGTATGTGTGTGTGTGTGTGTGTGTGCATCTCACTGGCTTTGGTTAACAAGCACGAGTTTGTCTACTTACCCGGAACTGACCACCACTGCCGTCATCCAGCTCCAGAATATACCCTTCGGCGGGGACCGTGGACAGAGGGGGTTGTTTCCAGGACAGCGTGGCGCTGTTGTTGTGGGTGCAACACTCCTCCAGCTGGAGGATGGGGGTTGCTGGGACTGGAGAGGAAGCTAAACAGAAATTAGTGTCACTTTGTGGCTTCCGTTGAGCTGCATATATTTCAGGACTCCTGATGCCAACGTGGTTAGAATGAATCAGCTCAGGGTGCAATGGGGAACTCAGTGGGATCCTTCCCACAGCTCCCCTGGGTGGGGCGGGTTCTTGGATTCCTGTGAGGCCCAGTTCTCAACTCATGGTGGCACCTCTTACATTAGTGGTGGCAGCTAGAGAGGGGCAGGCATATTCGCAGAATGGCTCTGTTCTAACCCCCTTGGGCATGGAAGGCATCATTCCTAAGGGGAGTGGATTTCCCTTCTAGCCACTGAAGTTTCTTTAATGTCTAACATGACTGAAGCTTGTATCATGACATTTATTGAAATGTAAACCCTAGTTTATGAACTGAAGACTATTCAGAGAGATAGTTGTGAAACTATTATATTTCATATATATATATATATGCTAAGATTTTACTCTGTAAACAGCTATAGAAGTTAGTGTTTGAAAATTTAGTAGCAAGTGACACCAGTGGTGATCCCCCCATTTGGAAACCTCTGAGAAACCTGATATCATACTCAGAAGGCAGCTGTACCTTGGACACGGCATGAGGTCCAGGGCGCTCCTTTGTTTCAGGCATAGACATCTGGCCATGAGCCTGGGGGTACTGTGAGGCCAACTAGGGAATGGCGGGAGGCCCCCGGAATCCTGGCAACCTTGTGAGAATCTGTCACAGTGTTATTTGGAGTAAACTCTGCATTTTATGAAGGTGCTGAGAATCTTTTATATTACTTAAAAATGCAGAGTGGTTAACTCTTCAGACACACAGTTAAACCTTCCGACATAGAAATATTGGTTAACAAACAACTCTAGTTCCTAACATATGAACTCAGTATTTGTAGCTGGGAGAATTATTTTTACCAACTGCTTAAAATTTTTTAGCACCAAAATGATAATTATTTATTTTTTTCTAGCACTTTAATAACAGGAGAGAACATACTGGACCAGATTCAGGGACATTTAAGTGAACAAATGTTAACTGTGGAACATCTGATATGCTGTCCCAAAGTCTGACTTTGTGTGTTGTGCTTTGAAATAAACATGCTCCTTGTCAGTCACCCCAACCAAGGAGATACTTGGCTTCACAGTTTAGGAACCAGGTTCTGTGGTAGATAGCCTAGAAAAACAAAAGCAGTGGCTATAACACATGAGATGTGAAGGATACTGCTTATCATTAAGAAGGGACCATGATACAGTATAATAAAACCATGTCAGGGCTACTAAAGATAAATAAATCAAATTTAGTGACTAGTTAATTAGTTGTGATCCATTTAGGAAAGGAAATAATGTTTCAAGTTTCCATAGTGCAGTTTTTAGATGAATCTTATCAGAGAACTGTGCCTAATGCAGGCTTCAAACCCCAGAACATCTGGAATTTGGAAGGAAGATAAATTCATTGCCTTGTCCAGTGAATACACTCCAGAGTTAGGTGGAAAGAGCAAAGGACAGAAGCTGTAACTCCTGGAATGATGCTAATGGTTGATTATTCACAAAGGATTGGGCATAACCCAGGAGCTGGAATTGGATGGCTAGCTTTAAATCAGAAGTATTAGAGATATACTTTGTTATTTAGATTTTGTTTCCTTGTGAAAAAGAAATCATTTTATCTTATTTACTGTGGAAGTTAAATGCTACAAATTTAAGCAAACCATCCTTGAAAGGATTTTCTAGAGACACGAATGATTCCCCTTGAGATTTTTGTTCTGGACTGTCTTTATTAGAACCTACCATAAAATAATTCCCTGGGCTCTCTTATTTCACTAGTTCCATATCAGTCTTTCTTTTTCTTTGTTTGCATTTCAGGCAAGTCTAAAGTTCACCAATTATAAAATGAAAAAGAAGAGCACAAGATGGTTTCAACTTGAATCATACAAATGCTTACAATGTCTCCAATAAGAAACCCAAATTTCCCTACTAGACATAGGTATAATTAACAGATTGACTAGAATACATGATGTCATGGGTTATTAAAACATTAGATTTTCATGTATAGGTCCTCACTGGATACACTTTAAAAGAACAAAAAGATGAAAAAAAAATCTAATCTCTCACCAATCTTTAGATCTTAATATTATCATCCCAGACTTAAACAAATAAGCAAATGAACAAAAAAGCAAAGGGAAGGAAAGAACTTATTCAGAGACATTTGCAGGTGTGTGTCTAAATCGCTCTATGTGTTAAGCATTATTTTTTCTTTTTCTTTATCTATTCCTTATTTACTCCCAAATGACGTTATATATAAAAGGCAAATGCGACAAAGTTACAGCCTTATTAGGAAAAACTCAGGCTGACATTTAGAAAGCTAGATTTTATAGTGGGCGTTATGCCACCGTCTTTCGTTTTCTTAGGTATGAAATAAATGGTGTGCAACAAACTTGAAGTCTTTTCAGATCAGTCTGTCTCTTATGCTCTGGAATCGGACTGGTGTCTAAGAAAGAAGTTTCTATTTTATGGAAAGTCCTGTCACTGGGGCCACCATAGCTAGCTTGATCTTCAAACTTCTATGCTCATTCTGGGACACCCTTTTTTCTTAACACCGAATTTCCCCTGAGCTGACCTTGTTCTGGCACATAGCATTCTTTAAGCCTGAAAGATCAAGCCGCAGACTGAAAATTCTCGACTTAAATACAGGAGCAGCTATTTTTACTGACTTCTGAGAAGGGTTTGGTGGAGATGCAGTTCACAGTTACGAGGCATAATAGAAAAATACAGTGACTATTTTTGCTTCTACTTTTCAAGAATATTTTTGGTGTATATAAATTTCCAGACTGACCTGTTTTCCTTTTAATAGCAGCTGCATGATTTGATAACAAGTGCCTGTTTTTGTTTTTTGGATTTTTTGATATTTTATCCTGCTTGGAGCTTGATGAAGCTCTACAATAGTGGCTTCCTCTACGATTTTGAATGTCTTACTGTTCTGCTTTAAATTATTCAGCTTTCTTATTTAACTTCTCCCTCTAATCTTTCAAACTGTGCACACTCACAATCCTCCAGAGCAGCTCTGCGAAATAAACAGGAGCGTGGCGAGGATGAGAGAGAAAGGACACTGCTGGCCTCACACCTCAACACAGATCACGAATCTTTATGAGCGTTCACGGGTGCCAAACAGTGTGGCTCGAGGCTTGTAGTATTAACTCATTTTTTTGAGGCAGGTGTTGCTAAGTATCAGACTGGCCTCAAACTTGCAGTGTGTATCCCAGACTTTGAACTCCTGATCCTTCCATCTCAGCCTCTCAGAGTACTGGGATTACAGGCATGTGGTGTCCCTGTACTAATCCTGGCTGCATTAACCCATTTAAATTTCACAGCCCCACAAGGTAGGTACTGTTATTATTTCTGTGTTGTAGGTGAGGAAACCGAAATCCAGAGAGGTTTCGTGGGTAGCAAGGGTCAGGGCTGGGATCTGCAGCCCAGCAGCCTTGCTCCCAGGGCTGAGGGGCTGGCACTGTATTGTGCTGCTTCTCCAGTGTGGTGTCAGGAGAAGTATACTAGAGGAAAGTCTTCACCCTACTTCCCAAAGTTGTTTTCTGTTTCCTATAATGTGAATAACAAAGACTCTTAAGAATTGCTGGTACATATTTATGAAAGCGCAACCAGAGTTATGGTGGCTGGGAGGGTCATTGTGTAGCATTGTCACGTCCGAAGATTCACTTGGGGCTACCTTTCCTCATTATTCCATGGCACTTTAGACTACAGAGGAGCTACAGGCTGTTTCTGGAAACCTGTCACTGGGCCACTGTGAAGGATAAACATGAACATGTGTTCTGAGAACATGCATTTCAGGTCCCCAAACCAGTGCGCACACGTGTGTGTGTGTGTGTGTGTGTGTGTGTGTGTGTGTGCGCGCGTGTTCGCCCCATGCTCCCAACCCTCTGGCAGCGCCTTCTCTAGGACTTAGAGGAGTCTGTTCAGACCACACTGTCCTTGCCCCTGACCTTGATGCATAATCAGGGCTCTTACATACAAGCTGAGTTAATGAAGATAAATACATCCTTCAGGGAGTAGAAGCACTTGAAGAAATTAATAGCCATTTGGTTTATGTGCTAAAAGTGTTGGTGGGGCTTCAGATCATGGCTTCATCCTAGTTTACAAACACACTGACATTTATTTGACCCATGGCTCTTGGGATAGTCTATGTACTTGCATAATTCCAGGATAATTTTTTCTGGGATGGAGTAGGTATCTGAGATCTATTTTTTAATTGAGTAGCAGAACCTTTGGCAGATTAGGAAAAGAATCTTAAACTTGTTCCCTGTGACTTGGGGAAGAGTTGACAACAGTAATTTAGAATTAAGGGGGAAAATGTTTTTATTACTTTCTAAGAAAAACAGAGGGCAGAGCTTACTACATTGTTTTCTGTAAAAGAAAAATCTGAAAGATCAAACACTTCTTCTAGTCATCTGGAAAGAAAATAAGCTAATTTTCTAATCATAATACAACCAGAACAGACATCATTACAATTTAGGGATGATATCATTATAATTTTTTTGAACAAAAAAAGGTGCTAACATTCTCCAGATAGATCTCAATTGCTTAGGGGTGACATAGATTTCAACTAATCTTTAGCTAGTAAAAGAATAACTTTAAAGTGTGTGTTCTTGTTGAAAAGTAGCTGGCACAAGTGGAAATATGTGGAAACCATCAGCAAGTCCACCTTTTCAGTATCAACAGTGACAGAAAGGGGCCGGGGATATAGCTCAGCAGCACAAGCACCTGCCTAGCAAGTGCAAGGTCCTGAGTTTGATTCCTGTTACAAAAAAATCCAAAAAATCCCCCCCAAAAACAAAACAAAAAACCAAAAAAAATAAACAACAACAACAACAACAATAAAAAAACAATGACAGAAAGGGAATTTGTGATGATTTCAAAACAGGACACATGCTTGCTAAAATTTTAAGTCAAAAAGTAAACAGATATTTCAGTGAAGTGTATTTCAGGTAACTTTCTATTGTAATCCACTCAGCACAATTAGGAAGCACATTCTGAATTACATGCTCCGTTACTTTCACAATGGCCAGATCACATTAATACCATTCCAAATGTTCCTTAGGGTTTGGGCATTTGTCTATGGCATTTAGGGTGCAGTTTCTTGGAATATTTTTACTGACAAGTTGTGAAAATGTACTTCATTAAATTAAGAATTTCTTTAGTAAGTGAAAAGCTAACAGTACACTTCGACCAGTTGTCTGTGTGTTAACAACGTGACAGGGGTCGGGAGAAGTCCTAACTACCGCCAATCAAGTCCTCGCTCATCATGACCTGCGGCTTTTTTCTTTACAAGCATCTGACAGGTAAGAATTATGCAGCTTCTACAGAGCACTGGACTCTCACTGAATTAATTAAGCTTAATGAGCACAAAGCAAAGCATACAAATTAATAAGCAGAGAGATAATTATAAGATGTAAACTAAATTAAAATGAAGTGTTAAAAATGGAAGAATCCACTCTCATACCAAACGGCCTGTTTTATTAACTTGAAAATAAGTGTTCTGGATCTCTCACATTGCAGGTGGACGGCTGTGGTGAGGGGCTTCCGCATTGTGGCCTTTGGAAAACGTGCATTCTCTGTCATCTGCACAGACTGTGCACACAGCCAGTCCAGTCTTCTGAGTGCCCTGCTAAGTGGGCGAGTGACAGTGCTTGGGAATGTGGTCTGTGTGGTAGGTGCATGAACCTGCACGCCTTGTACAAGCAGAAGGGCCTACTAACTTCAGAATAATTGTCACCATCTGCCAAATGGCCTGGACTCACTGTATGCAAATGGACAGGACTCGGAAGCATAATGAACGCGGAGAGGATGGCTCTGTCCGCTGGTTAAAGCACGAGGCTTTTACCCTCTAACTGCCTCCTCCTCCTCCTGTACCCTCACCAAGGCTGATGGGGTTGCATCATTTTTTTCTTCCTCCATCAAAGGCTTCTGTGACATATTTTCTCCTCCGAGTCACTGGTGACATAACCTTTCAGTGATTATATCTCATTGAAAGAATTGAGGACAGAGATTGGCTGACGGAAGGGGATTTACTTAGGGCTCTATATTCTGCTAGGGTGGGGTTTATTTAATAGGCTACTATGTGGGAGTTCAAGAATAATTTAAACAGCAAGAAGGAACTACCTCAAAACAAAAAATTGGATTTACTAAGTATATGGAAGATATTCAGATATTCTCTGAAGAAATCTTGTAGGAAGGAACTAGCTTTATAGCATAAAGTAGAAGTTGCAGGAGTGTGTTCTGGAGCCATATCCCCTGGTGTGAACACTGGCCCTGTCACATGCTAGCTGTGTGGGCCCAGGGAAGTGACCAAGGCTTTCTGTAGCCCAGTTTTCTCAGCTGACTTGCTAGGGCTGTGAGAACACAGCAAGTAATACATATAAAACTGCACTTAGGAGGATCTCTGGTTTGGTTAGCACTCAGTAAATACCAATTTTTTTGTTGCTATAAGAAAACATTTTTTTTTTTTTTTGTACTGGGAATTGAACTCAGGACCTTCCCTTGCCAGGCAGGCACTTGTGCCACTGAGCTATATCCCCAGCCCAAGAAAACATTCTAATTTATTACTGTACAATACATCAAAACTTGATTAAGTCATCTTCTCAAAGCACTACATATTAAAAAATGAGAAAGTTGAAAATAAAAGAGCAAAAATCCGCTGGACAGAGGTTGAGAAATTAAATGTGCCAACTACAGGGATGAGTTTAACCACATGATGTGAATGGCTTAGAGCCCTAACACTTCCGGGTTTGTGATTCTTTCTGTGTCATAAAAGAAAGAAGGTAAATTTTTGCCAAGAAGCAAAAAAATTTAAGCACGGAATTTTAAGTCATTCATTATGTGGATGCTCATATCAGGGGTTGTAAAGAGTAAACCAATTTCTTCAGTTAAAAAAAAAGGTCAGAAAAAGAAAACACGGTAGAGATGGAACAGATTAGTGGGTGCCAGGGATGAGAGACATCAAGGCTAGGGGCGTGACACAAAGGGGTGGCTTTCTGGTGACAGACCGGTTCTGTGCCTAATAGCTGTGGTGGTTGTCTGCATCTACACAGGTCATAAAATGGCACAGAACTATGTACATGTGCTGTACCAACATCAGGTTCCTGGTTTTGATTTTATAGTGATGCCAGATGCAACCACTGAGAGAAACCAGCAGAAAGGACCTCTCCTTACTGCTTTTGTAGCTTCCTGTGAATGTATGTTTCAGAATAAGGCATTTTTTACAATCAGAAATATTATCTCCTAAGTAATATTCTTTTTACTTACATTGTCATAAAAGTGATGTCAACTTGAGTTTTTATTTTCCTTCATATAGTTGAAAGTACTTGTATTTCTCTTCAGCCCCTGCATCCTTAAATCTCAAGAGACCTTGCTGCTATCCCTTGATTACACAAACCTAGTTTTAAAGTTTCTCTCAAATTTCCATTTGGCTCCCAAGCTGGTCTTTTCCTGCTGATATCGGCAGGCTGACTGTGATCCTCCTGAGTACCCCCAATCAATGCTCAGCCGTTTGCTTGCTCCCTGTATGCAGGTGGAAGCAGCCATTACAATCCTGGACTACCTCGATTTATATCAATATCTCTGGGTTACTTCCTGTAGCAAAGTTTTATTTCTGTGGCAGTGATGTTTTCTCTTTCTCCCTATCTCCTTTTATGTGGGCTCTCTGATGCCAAGCAATGTGAAAGCTCTAAGACTCTCAAAGAACTGAACACATCTGAATTTATCTGAGCCTCTCAGTGGGAGATTGCACAGGTACAAGAAGACATTTTCAGTATCTGATAAGATAGGAATCACCCCTGATTTATGTAATCATCACCAGAAGGCCCCTGGCCCTGCTTCAAGCACCAGCATCTTGGGACAGAGCTATCCGGCTCGGGTGACACAGCACGTACCTTTCATCTGCACGAAGTCCAGCTGGTGAATGGACTGCAGCAGAGGACTGTTGTCCAGACTCAAGTCGAAGTCCGTGGTCATCCTGGGCGTGAGCGTGCCTTTTCCCCACTGGTCCTCAGTCAGGTGCACTCTCCTTATGAGGGCATCAGAAATCTAATCACAGCAAAGACCACAGCCTAAGAAATACAATGCCACACTCGAAACAACATTGTTCCTTGACTCTCTGAGAGTGTCACCACCAAACTGCCTGGTAGTAACACGCTTCTGATCTCAGTGTGGAGGGTAAGGAGGATCCCATTATGACTAGGATGACTCAAGATTTATCAAGCAAGTCTGAATACTTTAGTGAGTCAGAGGGAAGGTACTATAAATAATTAGCAGGTGTTAATTAATCTAATAGACAAACCTGGATATGTGATCATGCTATTTATGATTGATCCACTTAAAGCCCACAATTGTAAAGAATGATATATGTTGGTGATGAATTAATTCTATTAGAATCAACAGATCTAAGCTTCTATTTTGAGGTGTGGGTAGTGTATCAAGACTTGGGAACTAGAATGGCTGCATATGGGATTTATTACATTTTAAGTACACTATCTTTCTGCAATTATCACTTTGTACTTTGGTAGAGAATTCTTTTTTTTTTTTTTTCTGGTACCGGGAATCAAACTCATGAGGTAGAGAATTCTTTCACTTCTTACATTCAATCACCCTTGGTCACTCTTGGTCATTTTAACAGAATGTGAATTGGGAGAGATCTTCATGTCCTTTAACAAAAGGCTCCTTAAATTTAATAACATCTAGCTTATATCATAGCATTTCACTAAAACAGTTAACATTGAAAAATGAGTAAACTTCATTACATTAGAGAAATCACTGACTTACTGGCCAGGAGGAGGTGACCACAAGGTAGAGACTTGAAGATGAGACATTTTTTGGCTGATGAAATTGTCCATGAGATAATAATAGAGGATGCCAGATTCTTAGGCAAGGGAAAAATTCTACTTTGGAAGAACTTACAGGGAATTATATTTTCAAGAACAAAACCAACAAACCACATATGCACTTTTCAGTCCTGTAGCACCTTGTGGCAGAATTGCAGAGTCAGTGGAGCTTATTTAGCAGGTACCCACACACCCAGGGCAGTGTGATGGTAGGGTCTGTGGGGCAACCAGGCTTGGCCAGGGCTGCTGTATGACCTGCCCAGGCATCTTAGACTCATCTCATGAGACATGTGGAAGCTCAAGCACAAATGGTTGACACTTACCTGCAAAAAGCCACTAGGATCATTTTCCTTAATCACCTCCAAGCAGTATTCCATGAGACCTGTGGTCTGACGCAATTTCACTGTGCAGTGAGAGATCTGATCTCGAACCACCTAGGATGGAGGAGAGAAGAGAACCGTCCAAAATGGCAGCGGGTAGAGGAGAAGCCAACTGGGACCTTAGAAGGCTCCTCAAACCAGAATCCAAAAGCACCATGGAATGGAACTAGGTTTATGTGAATAATTTGTGGTGATGTCTGCATGGACAATGGCTCTGGAAGACAGACTGGATAAGGCTTTTAGAGGAAACAACAAGTAACAACAACAACCATCAGAAAGGGACGCAGAGGCTGGAACCTTGTGGATCAGGTGACCTTGACACATCAAGGTATGCCTTCCATGGTACCCTCACCCCATTCTTATATGGGAGGCTGACTCTCCTGGGAGCTGTCTGAGTGAGGTCCTGGGAGTCTGTAGGGGACATAGAGTTCCCCAATTGGTGGCTGCAACACTGCTTTTACGCTGTTGCCCACTTTCACTGCCCTCTGCCTGCCTCTTCTAAAGAGCAGACATCATCCCCACGGCTGCAGGGGATTTCCTTTCCATTCTCCTTCTTTGAGTTGATGGTAGGTGGCTGGAGAGGCCAGGTGGAGCTTGTGAGAGACAGTAAGATGGTGTCAACAAGTTGGAGAACGACGACAGATGGAGAATAAGGTTTTTAGGATAACCCAGTTAGAATCACCGTGTCATTGTGGGAAGCATTTTTAAAGGTTGCCCTATTTGCCAAGCTGTGAGTCTGCTCTAACCCAGATAGGCATCTCTTTAAGTCTGTACTTTCTGCCTCTGGGAGGTTTCTTTGCCCAGTGACAAATGCATGACGTTCCTTGAAAAGTTTCTTTCTTCAAAGGTGTTCATCTGTGTGTCCTCTGATCAGTGACCTGAATCCTGAATGATTTTTGAAGCAGAGAACTGAACAAGGATTTTTCAGGAACCTTAATCATTTCCTTCATGGTACTTATACATTACTCTGTAGAAGCCTCAACAATATCCTGTGTTTTGACTTTTATGGATGATGATTTTAAAAGATTTTAAGTTTATAAAGATTTAAACACTTTTTCTTATTGCATCTTTTCATGTTTGAGTATAAGTTTGTGTTTCATTAAAGATTACTGTATCTGCTTTCCAAAATAATTGGAAAATGGATGAAAACAAATAATCTCACCATCCTAATGTAAGTTTTTATAGCACTTTGATAATTCCTTTTAGTTCTTTTTCTTGAACCACACATATTTCGAGTTGAAATTATGGTATATGATAATTTTACCTCCCCACACAAATGTAGTACTATGTCATAGCATTTTTCAGGTTGCCATCAGTAAATATGGCTACATAAATATCCCACTGAGTGGGTAATCATAACCCATCTAGTCATTTTTGTTCCCCTATAATTTGACATTTAATGTCTTCCTAATTTTTGAACAACTCATGAACTCATTATTTTTGTTTTTTGTCCCTATTTTTGTTGTGGATGTATATATATAAGTGTATACTGAAACGTACATGAATATATATTAAAATTTTCCCACTTTTACCGTGTTTAAGTACACAGTTCTCTAGCATTAAGGACTTTCAAACTGCATTACTACCATCCATTTCCAGGACTTTTCTCTTCTACCCAAATTGAAATTCTGTACCCATTAAACAATAACTTTACATTTTCCTTCCTTCCAGCTCCTGGCAGCCACATTTTACTTTCTGTAAATATGATTATGCTAGGAGCTCCACATAGTAGCACCATCCAATAACTTGTCCTTTGTGACCTACCTATTTCACTTAACATAATGTGTTCAAGTTTCATCCATGGCATAAATGTGTTAAGATTTCTGTCTTTTTAAAACAAAACAGTGCTCTAAATGTATGTACCAGAGTCTGTTTCCCCATTCATCCATCCATGGAGTCTTGGGTTATTGCACTCTTTGGCTCTTGTGAAGGAAGGTGTTATGCACAAGTGTGTAAATATGTGTGGTTGTTGGCCTTCACCTCTTTGGATATACTGCACACTCAGAAGTGGAATTACTGGATTATGTGGCAATTCTATGTTTAAGTTTTGAAGAATTGCCATACTGTTTTCCACAGCAACTGTGCCACTGTACATTCCTGCCAGCAGCAGGTAAGGATTTCAATTTCTCCACATCCTCAATGCTTATTATTTCTCATTTAAAAAATACAATAGCCAACCCAAACCTGAGTGTATCATCATGGTTTCCATTACATTTCTCTAATGATTAATGACGTTAAGCACTTTTTCATGTGCTTCTTGGTCATTTGTATATCTTCTTTGGAGACAAATATATTTAAGTCTTTACCCATTTTTTAAATTAAATTGTTGTTGTTGTTGAGTTTTAGGAGTTCTTTATATAGTCTGTATATCAACTGCTTACCAGATACTATGGTACTATGGTTCACAAATATTTCCTTCTGTTTCACAGGTTGCCTTTGCATTCCTTTGCTAGTGTCCTTTAAGGCATGAATATTTTTAATTATGAAGAAGTCTACCTCATCTATTTTTTTCTTTTGTTGGCTAGCATTTAGTATCAAAGCCAAGAAATCATTGCCAAATTTAATATCCTTAAGCTTTCACCTTTTGTTTTATTCTAAAATTCTTAGCTTTAGGTCTTATATTTCAGTCTTTGACTCATTTTGAACTAATTTTTTTTTTTTTTGTACCAGGAATCAAACTCAAGACCTTGCACTTGCCAGTATCTCTGAGCTATATCTCTAGCCCCCTAATTTTTATATATAGCATTAGGTAAGTATCTAATGTCACTTTTTGACATATGAACACCCAATTTCTTTCCTACCATTCGTGGATAAAACTGTCCTTTCCCCATTGAATGATCTTGGTACATGATGGAAAATCATTTGACCACATATGAGAGAGTTTATTTCTGGATTATTCTGCTCCAGTGATGTATGTTTCTCTTTATGCCAGTACCACACTGTTTTGATATTGCAGCTTTGTAGTAAGTTTTGAAATTAGGAAGTTTAAGCCCTGCAATTTTGTTCTTTTCAAGATTGTTTTGGCTGATTTGGGTCTCTTAATTCTCTGGCAGATGATTGGTTATTGCTTTTAAGTTTTTAGTGATAATCACAAGGAAAAGTAAAATATAGGATTTGAAACTCTGTTGAAATTGGTGAAAGGTACCAACTTTTTTTTTTTTTTTTTTTGGTTTTCTCTGGTACCGGGAACCGAACTCACGACCTTGTGCTTGCCAGGCAGGTGCTTTGCCGCTGAGCTAAATCCCCAGCCCCCGAAAGGTACCAACTCTAATGTGAAGATTTTTTTTTTTCTGGTACCGGGGATTGAACTCACGACATCGCACTTGCCAGGCAGGCGCTATGCCGCTGAGCTAAATCCCCAACCACTAATGTGAAGATTTTTTGTTGGGGAGAAGTCAAATTTAAAATTCATTGGTTGGTATATTTATTTATTTTTTAACATCCAGTGTGTTTCTGATGATCCCTACCACAATCTGTTGATCTGAGCCCAAGGAATACAAATTTTTTTATTCAGAAAATATACAGAAAGGTAAGTATTCTGCTTCTTGGAGGAAAATATTCCCCAAATAAAGTATTTAAAACTTCAAGACAGGTGACCTGCAGCTACTATGTTACTCGCCTCTGCTTTATAAGGCCTAACTTCTGTTCCTGGAGGACCTTGTTCTACCTTGGTAGCTGGTAGATCACTGCTATGAGGGAGCAGAAATCTCAGAAGTCACCATGTCATTATGCAAATGGCACCTCCTCTGTGCCCACCAGCCCTGAAAGTCCGCATGATAAACACAGACCAGATCTGAACACAGTAACCCAAAGGGAGAGTGTCTGCTTTGGAGACAAAAAAGACCAAACTGTGTTTACTTTCTAGACGCTTCAGTTCAATGATATTATTATTATATTATATACATATATATATATATACCGAGTCCTCACAAAATTCCATGTTTGCTTCTATAAAGCTGCTGTCTGGGCATGGGGCTCGCTGCTCTCTCTCTCTCTCTGTCTGTCTCTCTCTCTCAGCTTAACTGCTGCACTGCCAAAGAGTTTGTGCATTTCAGGAGGAGTTTGCCGCTGGTCCTTTGCACTGTGGCTCCAGCTTCTAGGAGCCACTGAATAGCCTGGTTCTTAAGTGCCACTGTTGCTACCACTGACTTTGCTCTGTCGTTTTACATTTTAACCCATTCCACAAGGATCACGATAGCCTGCAGTAAAAATCACTGCTAAACTCTAAACTATAGAGTTTTCCAGGGTAGCATTTTGGGTGTGATTGAAGTGACTTCTAGTGTCTGAACTAATTGAACATGGGTTCCACCTTGTGGAGATCAGTCAGACAATTAGATTTTTAATCTTTTTTTCTCTTTTTAATTTTAAAGAGGATAAAAGGCAGTAACAAAATAACAACATCATAGAAACAAAACAAAGCAAAAACAATAAAAATGGTACAGGGTTTCAAAACAGAATGATAGGAATTAACGTGGTCGTTATATTACATATTGTTATCTTCAGTGAAGTTGCTCAGATTACCAGATGTAAGCATGCAAGACTGATCAAACCATTAAAGAGAATAAAAAATAATTTGAAAACAACATTAGAAACGATACAGGGCTTCACTAGACAAGATGGTAGGAATTTACCAGTGGTTATATTGCATATTGTTGTCTTCAAATTAGTTATTCAGATTACCAGATATAAGCATGCAAAACTGGTCAAAAAATTAAGCCTTAACTGTTCCTTTCAATAAACCATTAGACATCAGCAGTACAATTATCCCAGATATCCTTCTATATACATATCTATTTTTTCCTGTCGTTTTTCTTTTTTCCTCTCCCTCACCCCAGCAGACAATTAGATTTTAAGAGTACAAGTATTTTTTCCTTTTTTTTGAGTGCCTTTTATCAGCTTTTGTTTTCTTTTCTTTCTTTCTTTTTTTTTTTTTTTGATACTGAGAATCGAACTCAGGACCTTGCTCTTGCCAGGCAGGCACTTGTGCTGCTGAGCTATATCCCTGGCCTATTACTTGCTGCCTCTTTTTTCCACCTATATTACTCAAACCACTT